AGGTCATTTTGACCAAATTCGACTTAATCCTCATTTTGATATGATGGGTCACAAAAATGCAACCTCATCACACTGAGTCATCTTGTCCTGCACGTCCTTTCTGTGAGATCTGTGGAAGTATGTGTGATCCTGTTGTGAAGGGTCCTCCCACTGGGTGTGGACTGAATTCAGATGTGGTATAGAGAGTGGTGTGAAGATGTGGCATCAGGACGTGTAGTAAAGACGCGTGCATCAGGACGTGTAGTGAAGACGCGTGCATCAGGAGGTGGTGTGGAGATGCTGGCCTTGTCTGAGACAACTGGAGATGAATCCACAGCGCAGTCTGGAAAACATCAACAACATTAAAATGTACACAGTCTTTGCATAGTAGAAACAGTAAAGTGTCACTTATTTTTGTAATTTTTGTTCAACATTGTGAGGAAAAGTTTCTCATTCAACACTTTCACACATCACATGCCCTTGTGACACGACTTTGAATAAGGGAGATATAATTAAAGTATGGATGATTTTGATTTATTGAAATCAAGTTGGCATACTATAAGTGACTAATGTGGTAAGACTTACTTAGGGTTTCAGGAGTTCTGATAGGCTTCTCCCTTCTTGAGCTTGGGAAAGAATAATCTGCAGACATGCATTTTCCTTGAAATGCATTGCAGCCAGGTAAAGTCTAGTTAAAATAGCATAAAAGAATATTACACGTTAGTTTGAAGTTGCACCATTAAAACTCATCTAACACAAAGTATTTTGAATAAGAAAAAAAACATAAATATAGAGTGACTAAAACAACACTGCAGCCGATATTTTTTGGCTGATTCTTGAAGCCGATACTACTTTTTCTTCCTCCCTCCATTAACATGATAAAAATAAGAATGATAACAAATGTTACACAAGTCTTAATTTAAAACAAAACAAACTAAAAAAAACATTTATTAGCTAAGCCTTGTCTGAAGAGGCTGTATAAAGTGCTGCCACACAGGGTTTCTTATTTCAGCCCTTTCTTAAAAAATAAAAATAAAAAAATAAATTCATTACTTATTTTATCTAGTGCTAAATATTCTGTTTTTATTTGTATATTAATAAGATTAAGATTAATAAGATATTTTGTTACATAAAATGACTATGTTCCCAGCTTTTTTGATGCAAAAACAGCAACACTGAGAAAAAAAGGAGAGACACATCCATCTTGCTATCCTGATGAGGATTTCACACACACAACGCTCACAGCTTCTCTGCCTCATTCTGCTGCTCCCGTTTTTAACACCAGGCAAAAAATGCATTTAAAGCAGCTGACGTTAACTTTAGATCACAGTTTGAAACGCTCCAGCATTTTAAAAAAGAAAAACAACACGGACACGCTGATTACAGTGCGGGGCGAAAGTGAAAGTAAAACATGGTGCTGAGCACCCGTTCGGTAAAGAAACTTAAACACAGCTGTTCTTTCTCCCCTCGTATTCCAACACAGAGGGTAGAAACAGCTAAATTAGACAGTTAAAACATTTACAGTTCATAACTCACCCTTGTTGTTGTAACATTCATCCTGTGTTGTCCGCAAGCACTTTCCGCCCTGTTGTGGGT